ATATATATATATATGAACAAAGTACTCAAACAGCATTGATATCGGTGGCTATCGGCTGTCCAGATATTTTCGTTGGTCATTAAAGCCAAATGACAGTCAACACAAGATCATGCCTCAGAGCCAGGTTACCTAAATTCATTCGGTTTTTTCACATTGAGGACTACCGTTTCACCCACTATGAACCCAGCTGTTATCAGCTGTTCAGCATCTCAAGCCAGTTGTATTAACTGTGCAAGTTATCTCTCAAATGACGGCGTGAACATGTTGACACAATGGTCCAGAAAACTCAAATACGGAGTTACTTAAAAGACGAACTCCTTCCTTAAATGATCCTGAGTATATTATCAAACTCTACACACATCACCGCACTACCCGTTGTTCTGTATTATTTGTCTGCCCAGAAACAAATACTTTATCGGACAAAGTGTCAGGTTTTTTTCAGTTTCCGATAACATTCTTTCAGATTTCTAGTAGTCGTCCGAGGCGTACGAGTACCCTTGTGGATCCTCTTCAGACGATACTTGATAAGATGCCCCACCCAATGCATTTGGATAGGATCAACTGTCTTTGAAAAAAAAACACTGTTCAGTACTGGTGTGCTACGCAGCAGACTCTGCATTCGAAAATCCCGAGATTCTTTGTATTGCTTACAAGCTAACCTTAGAATCAACCCTCTGAGTCAAAATTTTTGACTAAGAGGTGTAGAATTTTTTGTCCACTGTGGAGCACTTTTCTTCCGCTAAGTCCATCAGAGTGGTGGTTGCATTTTAGTCTTCGTTTATACCGGAAAGACGTTTTGTGCTTAGTAGTCCTTCTGCCTACTACTCATTCTAAAAGAAGACAGACACATTTTATCAGTAACGAACTGTCACGAATTCGAGTTTCTAACGGTAACGTTGGTTATCTGGTAATATGAGGATTAGAATTTGAGGGATACTTGGCAGTCCCGGGGGTTCATCAGTTTTCAAGAGGTGCCGTCAAAATCTTTAGTTAGGAAGCTCGGTATGATGACAAGTTTTCTTTCAAAGTTTCACCCTCTCCGCGAACTCATTCATATATATATTTAAATATAAAATATAAAACATATAAACGGCGCTACTTCCACCGTTCACCTGTTGAAACAATGAATGTTCCTAGCTGTCACCGACTAACTATGGAGTGGATGAGGCCATTACTGTGTCCAAAGACCCCAAGTCAGATTTTGCACTTTCGGTGTCATTCCTCGAATTCAATAAAGACTGAAAAATCTCTCTCAATCCCAAAATATACAGGCACTATTTTATTGTCAACCGAGCACTGCTTCTGGTGAAAAATCTGGAGACTACGAATAAACGTTGATTCTCAGGTCCGCACCTCTTTTTTGATGAATGCAGTCGCCCCGCTGTCGACTAGGTCTGCTGTGTGATTGAATTTTCAAGCAGTAGTTGGAATAAAACTGAAAAGGTGACAGATTTACGACGGCATTTGTAAAACAAGATAAACGCCTAACTTCATTTTGTCACACCGTCTAACCATGAAGTGGTCCGGTAGTACCTGTCCAAATAACAGGTTTGCCTAAAAGGGTGGAAAGTAACAATTCGTCGGATACATTAGCATAATCGCGCAGTCCGTTGGAATGCGTGGAAAATCACTGATGATTTCGACAAGTCGCAACGTAGTCGGCTGCGAGGGTCATGCTGAAATGGCGAAGTAGGTAGAGGTGGGTGAAGCATCAAAAAATGCATAATGACTCACTCGGTGACAGAATTAGCGATTCGTCCGAGCTAAAGTTAGTCGATAGCTTGCAGCCCTAAAGCATGGTAAACAGACACGCAACAACAAGCTGACGTTTTCGTGCTTCCAGTGATAAACTCCAACATTGGGGTACTTTTTATTCAGAAGACCGGGGCAAATAAACCGGTTTGGAAATGTTCCGTTTTATAGGTTTTAAAATAAAGCCTTTCCTCATGATGAAAACAGTCTTCTAAAGAAGCTCTTAAGAATGTACTGTCTGGGGTTCAAGTTTTGCGATTTAGACATTAAAAGGTTACTCCTTTTGCTTGCCAGAAATTTAAACGTATAGTGTCACCGTGTATAGTGCTTCATTGTCTTTAGCATCTGACACTTATTAAATAAGATATTTCACTCAGGAAAAAGGAATTTAAAGAAAACAAAGTGCCACTAACGTGATCCTTTTTCTTTTGTTGTGATCCACACGATGGGCTTATGTTTGCTCTCTACTACTGTTTGATTAGAATATCGATCTTTAAGCTTGCGACATGAAGATCGAGTTACATGTTCAGCGTGGTAAGTAAGCCGTGGTTTTGTCTTTCCTGTTTCATAACGAAAACCTGGTACTCTCCCAAAATTGTTTCTGTCTGCAGCTTAGCCGCAAATGGAAGGAAATCGTTGGTTTTACTAACCGAAAAGTCCAGGCCGTTTGTTGTATCCCTGACTCCGAAGCACATTTCAAAGACAAATTTCATGTCCCATCTGTTTTCATTTATGGTGTGAAATCCCCGTTCGGCAAAACAATACCAGAACAAACGG